TCTTATCCAAATAGGATAAACATCAGTTTAAAGAAAGTGATTTAAATAGGGGAAGGTTTGCCCAAATCAGTCATAGTTGTTAAGAACAAGTTGCCTTGTTATTCCCTTAACTGAATGATTGCACTAAGGCCCTGATGGCTAACCTGTGGCACGCGTGCCCCAGGTTGCATGCATAGCCATATCGGTGGGCACGCGAGCTCAGCTCAGGCGCACATGTGCACACCAGCCAACTGATTTTTGGGCCTTCTGGGCCCACTAGAAGTAGGGAAACAGGCTGTTTCCTGCCTCCGGAGGGCCTTGGGGGGTGATGGGGAAGGCCTGTTTTTCTCTCTCCCCAGGCTCCAGAGCTTTTCTAGGAGTCTGGGGAGGGTGAAAATGTCCTTCCCCACCGGAAGTTGGCAAACGGGCCGTTTTCGGCCTCTGGACGGCCTCCAGGGGGGTGGGGAAGGACGTTTTCACCCTCCCCAGACTCCTAGGCTCTGGAGCCCAGAGAGAGAGAGAAATGGGTCCACCGGGCCATTGCGTGCTAGGCGCGGGGAGTCGTGCGCGCATGCACAGGGGCGGGGCGCATAGAATTATAGGTGTGGGCACACACGCACGCAAAACTCACCCACCTCCTGCACTCTCTCCACTTCTGGCACGAATGGCAAAAAGGTTAGCCATCTCTGCACTAAGGGATATTGGTAGTGGATGTTTTTGTTAACCATATAAAATCAACAAGTCTCAAATATCTGTCTTATTTGTTTGCTCAGACTTCTTTTACATATTCATTAGGACCTACATTAATAAAAGGTAAAGATATATCAGACATCAGAGAAAGATTGTAAATAGATTTTCACAAGCTATACAGCTCCTCCTTGAAATTATTTCCATGAGGTTGCAGTAGAAAGTGACTTTAAAATTATTCTAGTTACAAAATACAGATATCCTTTGAATGTATTTGTAGACTATCAGTCTGTGGCATGAAAAGTTTCTTAAATTTTTTCTTCAGTAGGTCTAGAATCAGAGTGGATTTGATTTAAATCGAGTTGATTTAAATCACAATTTAAATCATGATTTAAATCACTAGTAAAAAGGCTTGATTTAAATCAACTCGATTTAAATCATAATTTTTAAAGAGCAACTGTCATCTCTGCTACTCCTTTGACCCACTGTTGACTCACCGATAGTCCCAGTGTTGCAGAATATACAGCCTCATGCTACATAACTAAGCTCCATTTCATGCTGAATAAACTAAATTATTTATGTATCTTAAAATAGAAAACTATCTTATGATAGATTTTTACCCCAAAAGTTTTTTATTAAAATAAATTCGATAAAAATCAAAAAAATCCGATTTAAATAAAAAAAATCTGATTTTTTTAAAAAAATCATTGATTTTTATCCACCCTGTCTAGAATCCTTGAGCCTTGAGAACAAAGCTTTGTCATTAATCCACATTTTTATCTTGTACAAATACTTTAAGAAAAGGGATTTAGCAGGGAATTAAACATTTTCTTCTCCATATCTAATAAGGTCCAGCTAGTTATTAGTCCCCACGCCATATTGTTTGCTTTTGATAATTGCAGAGAAATATTTAGCATAACTCCAGTTTGGTCCTTAGTCCTTTGAAGCTAAAACAGACTAATATGTTCATAGAGGTATTCTTGTTTACAGAGATGAAGGTCTGTGCTCATTTTAGAATCTTAACTATTAAATTTCAGTAATAGTGAATACGTGTCAAAATAATCTTGAAAAATTTGTCCAGAAATTCTAGTCTATATTCTATGCTACGGAAGGACTTTAAAAGAAAAAAGAGGAACATGGAGGAAAAAATATCCTCGTGGCTTCTGAAGATAAAAGTCCTAACATAGGTGAATTGTAAAACTGTGTTATCATGTCTTTACTGCATTTTATTGAGCAATTTCTAACAGCTGAGATACCTTCTAAAATTAATAAAAATTTACTAGAAGTTAAATGTAGCTTTTTTTCTACTTAGAATCAATATTGCTATTCAGATAAACAGCAATAATTAGAAAAATATTTATCTTTGTAGGCTTTACAATTAAAAGATCTGTCTATTTTGTAGGAGATTATATTATAATTTACTATCTGAAAGGTATTTTTTCTTCTTTCTCAATCTTTCTGAATCTTTCAATATTCAGCAGCATTGTTAAACTTCAAAATAAATTTTTAACTTCCTTTGAAAGGTGTTACTGTTTAAAATATTTTTGACAATGCAAGCATCTTATACTGTTTTTATTTTGCAAAAGAATAATGTATGATTGCTGATGTACATCAGCATTTCAGATTTCACACCTTCATATTTGAAATGAATGAATCATTTCACATGTTAGTGTATTGCTTGAATTCTAATTCAGGGATAAGCAAAATGAATTTGTGTCCAAAAAAGATGGTTTCTACCGTGTTTCCCCAAAAATAAGACCTCCCCTGAAAATAAGACCTCCCCCAAAAATATTATCTCCAATAATATGTAACTGCATGTGCAGCTGGTCCCTGCCATTTCCTCTGGTTAGGGGACAAAGCTGGAAATCAGGTAAGACAGCAAGAGGAGCCCCATCTTGCTCCACGCACCCCAAAATAATAAGACCTCCCCAAAAATAAGGTGAAGCGCTTATTTCAGGGTTTAAAAAATAAATAAAACAGGGTCTTATTTTTGGGGAAACACGGTATATATCCCTGGATATAGAAGTAACTTTTCATGAAGACAAATTTGTCATATGACAATAGTCATATTCAGGTCATGCCAGTAATTGCCCTGGATGTGGAGATATCTGCTCTATTAGAAAGGCTTTTATATATTTATTTGATTACGTTGAAAATAAAAAAGTATTTCATTTTGTATGGTAGATTTATTTTCTGCGCTGCTCTTCAGAGATGTGTTATGTAACATTTATTTATGATAATCCTGCCACGTTCCTTTCTCTTCAGCTAATAGGCTTTCCTGTCATGCTGAAAAAGAAATCTCTTATTTCTCTTTATTTCTGAAGTGTTATCCTTATTGTTCTCTGCTGCTCTTTGGAATATGAATTATGCATTGTATGTGTTTGTAAATTAAAAAGCACATTTGAATAATGAATTGAGGAGGGGGGTTTGGTAAATAGCTACTGGATAATTTCACAGTGTACTTCCTTTGTGTCTAACTTAGAAATTTACAGAACTCAGCAGTTAGATTCACCTCTGAAATCAGAGGAACTACATTATATGAAGCCCAATGCATTGCATTGTTGCTGACTTCTTTCTGGGTAAAGTACAGGATGCTGCTTATTATTTAAAGAAACCTTATAAGGCAGGGGTGTCAAACTGGCAGCCCATGGGCCGGATACGTTACACGCAGGCCACGCCCACCCAAGTTCCGCAAAGGGAAAAAAGTCACGAAATGTCACGTGACTGCAACAAGACGCTGCGAGTTTGACACCCATGTTATAAGGTAGAAGGCCAACCTCCATGAGACAATGCTTCTTTTTGTAACTATATGATTCATGCCCCACAGCCCAGCTCACAAAAATTATCTGGGGAGACTTAGCTACAGTTGCTCTAGGCTTCTCTTGAGAAAACTTTTAATCATCTTAGTTCTTTGGAATGGTTGCCCTGCTGCATTAATGGGTTTAACCTCTTTGCTTCTATGCTTTTAAAAAAGCTATAAAAACTTACATTTTAAGCCTGCTGTCACTGCCTTTACTTAATTTTTTTTTTTTTTTTAAAAAGCGTTTTAATAGCTTTGGGTTTATTTTTAGATGTATATTCTAAATCAATGAGAGAACCCATGTTGGTGACCTAAGTTTAATAAATAGAAAATTAGAGATCAAGTGTCAGGCAAGATAGAAGTAATGGTGATCTGACGTCCATTGCAGTGTTTTAATCTTGACAAGGACAAGTCTTTTGACTTTAAATAACCTCATATCAAATTTTAGAATTGACTTAGCCGCTGTAAAGCCTGATAGTGAACATTTGATGTCGAAAGCTGTGCTTTTCAAAAGTAATGAAGTGAGATAAAACTGTTTTATTTTGATGAGAAAATGTTCTCATCTTCTGTTATCTTTTCAGAATTTATGGTGTGCCATGAATCAGAATTTCCTGTTTCCTCCCTCTTCACTTTCTCTAATTAAATTCCTTGACTTTTCAGCCGCTTAAAAAACATACTACAACCATATTGCTGACATCAGTGCATAATTTTCCTTCTGCGGTGTAACTAGTTTACACAGTACAGTGATATTTAAAAAGTTCAGGATAATTAATTAGCACCAATATGAGCAATTCTGCAGATAGTTCTTGAGATTATGTAGAACCTCCCAAATATGTAATAAAAAATACAGAAAAAGGTAGGAAGTTCCTGAAGCAGATTCCTTCCCACAACCGTATTCTCAGCTTGTGGTCTCTTGCTGATCCTTTGGGAATTGTAGTATGACAGTACTTTTCCTACATTGATATCTCATGAGTTCGGAAGAATGGAAATCAGAAAATGAGTATAATTTATTCAGGATTGAGGTCCAAGGAAGTGATATAAATTTAACAAGGTAAGATAAACAAAGCATGACTTTTGGGATTCTTCCCAATAATTATAGGAGGCATCTGAGTTCCATATTCTCTGTTGGGTTGTTTGACCAAGAGAGTAGAGAGTGGAGGTTTAGATGCTCAAGAGCCTTTCAGACCGGGGATAAGGGTGGACGTGTTTTTCTCTGTAACCTTTGCCGAATGCAGACAATTTTCAAACTCAATATTTTATTTAGTTGTCTTTGGCCTCGTCAAATTTTATGGAATGATTTTGTGTTATTGATAAACATACTTTATCATGTAAAGATGAATTTCAAGGGAGTTTATAAGGGAGCTTATATGATTCTGTATGGTTGGCTCATGGGATAATCCGTTCACCAGACTGTTGCTTTTGTTTTCATGCAGGAAATAATAACTGTAGTAGGTAGTGGATAATGCTAATTAACAAAATGTATTTCATGTATTTAGTATATCCAAACTTACTAGTGCACCTGTTCCCTTTGCAGAGGTTGATGAGCTGCTGTGTTCTCTTAAGCACGTCCAACACACGCTGATAGATCCACAAAGTCAGGAGGAAATTGCTCTCATTTTACAGCTTGTGCAAAATACTGACTTTCAAAATGCATTTAAGATACACAATGCTGTTACAGTGCATATGAACAAAGCAAGTCCTCCATATCCTCTTATCTCCAATGCACAAGAACTTGCACAAGAGGTATGTATGGTGTACATTCTTATTTTAGTAATTAAAGTACTAGTAATTACTTTGTTCCAAAGTAGTCCTAGGTGCGGCATTAAAAGTTTTCCATAATTAAATTAGTATTTGCTTTTCCTTGTCTAGAAGAAAATGCTTTTTAGATCCCAGAAGTAATATGTATGAGAATTTAGGTTTGCAAATATACTATTTCATATTTTTAAATACTATATTTAAGAAATGTGAAGTTTCATTCTCTAAAGAAATATAAAAGTATGTAAATATTTCTTTATATTAATACAGTAGTTAAGATCACAGTTCTGCATGTCCAAGGGAACATGCATATGTTTCTTAAATAGCACTGCCTCATTATAAGAACATCAAATAATTTTTGAAACAATAAAAGTTCCTCAAAAACCTTTTGGCATGACTCAGCAGCTTTTTGACCAGACATCCTCAATCCTGCCTGGATCCCCCAATAATTCTTGGAATTCCTACAGCCTGAGAAAATGCCGTACTATTCTATTTAGCATTTAACTGCTTTTGTAAAATTAAAAGTATTTAAAGATATAAATAGATGCAATAATATTCACAGAAATTACACATCTCCATTCTTACATCAAATTTGTTATGATTGATTTCCAGCTACACTTTAATGCCCTCAAATAGTGTTTCATTCACTAAATTTGGTTATATAGCAAAACCAAACTACTGAAATCTTTGTATAATGTTTAAACTTCTTTAAATAAAAATATAGATCTGGAACATAAATTTTATATAAAAAATTGAATAATTCCTCGGGTCATTTTAAGTTTTTGAATATTTACGGATAATTGGATAAACATTTGTTACAATCTGCATTGTACTTTGCTATTTTGATGTTAACATCCAAACACTTGTAGCACTTTTCAGTGTGTATGAGAGTTCATGACTGGGAAGACATGGTAACAAGGTCAGCCAATGAATAGGCATAGCAAATAAGCCAGCCAATGGGGACTGTTTGGAAACTGAAACAGTTTTGGAGGCTGGGCATGACTCAGCTCTGAGAGTGTGCAAAAGTTCCAAACTAGTCTACTGAATTGAAACTGAAAACTCTTCTCTCCTCTGCTGTTGGTATTGTATATTTACTTCATGTGTTATATTGTATATAAAGAGAAGTTAATGAATCTTGTTAAATCAGTTATTACATAACTATAGGCGATTAACTAGAACCCACAAAAAATATAATAAAGCAGAAAGCTAAAGTAAAATAGTTGCAGCAAAATAACTGAAGTACTGTATAACAAATTCAAACACAGATTTGTATGTCAGAGGTAGTCCTTGGTTAATGACTACTCTTCAACTGTTGGAACTTGTGACTAAGCCAAACAAGAGATATTTATTACAGGTTCTCTAAGTTGCAACTGTTGCAGTGCTCCTGTGGTCACTTGATTGTGATCTGGGGTGCTTGGATTTCCAGCCATCAAAATTTCCTGGGTCATCTGATGGTGATTTGCAATCTTCCCTACCAGCTTCCCTGCATTTCTGCATTCTTTTAGAGAGTCGTTAAAGCCACTTGGAGGTTATATGTGTCTTCAGTGTCACCTGTGTAGCGGAAATGGGTGTGGGCTTTCAACAGAGGGGGAAGGGTATGACATCTATCTCCAGTCTATAACACAGTCCTTTCAACAGTTCCAAGAAGACTCCGCACCCATTTGCACTATACAGGTGACGCTGTGATTCTCTAAAAGATTGCAAATGACCAGCTGTCTGCAAGGAATATAAATCCTTCCATTCCCCATCATCCAGTCAGAGCTGAAGAAGCTTCTTGGATGAGAAGCGAAAAACAAGGAAGTCCAGTTGCCTCTTAAAATAGCATGTTTGGGACACCATGAACTGGATGACTGAGAATCTCCTTAGACATCTAAGTGCTATTGCTATTGCTGTATATATCATCCTGAATCCTTATACGTAACATGCAAAACCTCTCAAAATTATGCTGCCAAAATGTGTTATCTAGTCATTGATTTTTCAGTAATATATTATGTATATAAATGTTTGTATATCACTTTACTCTGGGATTCTGAATGATTTTCAGTAACTGTTAAATTTTTAAAAAAACTTCACTCTGAAAAACAGCCCACCAAAGTTAAACAGCAACAGAGAGAAATCAGCCTATCAAGGTAGTCCTACCACACAATTATAATTAAAACAATGATATATCTGTGGAGATTCTCAGTCATCTAAGTTATGGTTGTCCCAAGGGTGTTTTTTCAAAAGCCAACTGGACTTTGTTTTTCCTTGAAGATGTTTAGCTTCTCATCCAAGAACTGAAGAAGCTGAATAAACAAAGAAAGTTCAGTTACCTTTTCAAAAAGCACCTTTGAGGTAAAACAATGATAATATGAAATAGCATTTGATGTCTTGCAAAAGCCTAGCAGAATGAGAACTCCGTGCATCTTTGAGGCATTTTCATAGTGTGGGAGAAACCCCCCAAAAAAGAGCAGCCTTGGACTCTCATCCCGTTTACTTCAGGTAAGATGGAGAACTTCAGCATTCCCTGCCCTCAGGATAAACACATAGGTTGGGTTCCATTTATTCAGGATAGAACAGTTAGCCCCCTATCTAGTCATGTTTGGTAGTATCCCACCATTCCCCTCCTGCAGGAGTTAGAGATATACTTAGATCTCTGTTTTCTGGCTGTTTTCCAGAGACATTTGGAATTGGAAGATCGATCCTTGAATACTCTGAGGGAGTGTTATATTAAAAATGAATGTGGTCTCTGATTTCTTTTATCCATTTACTGTGTTAAAAAAATAGGAAATCAAGGTTCGTGTAATATACTACGCTATTTATAGAAAAGATGTTTTTGTGTGAAAAATAAAATAGTATTTTGTTTATGATGGATGGTAACTGATGTCACATTTTTGGTGTTCTACTTCCCAGGTACAAAATGTTTTGAGACCAAGCCATCAAAAAGATGGGCTGGAACTTAATTCTTTATTGAATGCTCCTCATGTTCAGGTAGGAATACTCTGTTTTAAAGTGTAATACATTCAGTTTTTTAAATATATTGTAAACAATATATAGATATCTACTGGTTTTTTCCTCTATCCACAGTAGTGGTCAAAATTGTGGAAACCTTTTGGGAAAAGTGGATTTTTGATTTTGATGGCTAATAACACCACTTTTTTGGGGAGTTCTAAGATAATTATATTCCACTGCTGGAATGGCCTTGGAATAGCCCAGACCTTAACCCAATTGAAAATCTATGAAGCCAACTAAAGAAACTTGTTAGTCAGAAGCGACCCAGAAATAAAACCCAGTTAATAGAAGCAATCATTCAATCTTGGTTTCATATTATAGCAGCTGCAGAACTAAAAGACTTGGTTTACTCCATGGGAAGATGTTGTAACGCCATAATTCATGCTAAAGGTTACCCAACTAAGTATTAACCGACATGATAATTTTTGTCTATCTTGTTTTTTTCTACGTGTTTCACTTTTCTTCTTTATACTGTAACTGCTATTCTAATAGCAAATCCTTCATAAAAGTTATTGCGTTACATTCTTGATTAAATTATCTTTCCCTTGATATATAATTTTATGGTACTACTCCAAAAAATGTGGTGTTATTAGCTAGTTTTAGAAAATACATTTATCCCAAAGGTTTCCACAATTTTGGCCACTACTGTATATGGTAAATCTCTGATTTCAAAGAAATAGTAATTACATAATTGAGATAACTACAAATGTATTTCCATTGGTATTTCTGAAACGAAGATGAAAAATCAAAATTTAAAACAAATTGATTTGTTGACTGTGAACATTTCTGAAGTGTCAGTTGTAAAATGCTAGCAATATGAACTTGTGAGTACTTCTAATGGTACCAGAATCAGACTTGGCATCGATACTGGCCAGAACAATTATTTGCTGTTTTTCATAGAATAACATGAATTAATAATAAAAAACACAATAAATGGAAAACAATTCCCTCTACATTAACTTTTATGCCTTGTATTGATAAAACCCCTTATTCCTTGAACTACAATGGGTCCAAGGAATACTGGTAGTCCTTGCATAGCAAGTACTCATTCGGCAGCCTTTGGAAGTTATGATGCCATTGAACAGAAATTTATGGTGGATCCTTGAAGTTCTGTGTCTGTGATCACATGATTGCAATTCAGGCACTTGGCAACTGGCCCATAACTGCTGTCTTCTGACAAGCAATGTCAGTGGGCAAGCTGGCAGCAATTGCTGTCGTGTAACAAACATGCATGCCCGTAACAAATATGCATAAGAACTGCAACAAGAACTGCTGTTGCATTCATATGTGGAACTGGTGGTCTCAGTTACGGTTGTTAATTAACTGTACTTGTACCATTCCTTAATTTGACTGTCCACCCATATGGAATCAGAAGAAAATACAAGAAAAGTGTCTTCTGGTTAATATTGCATCCAGTATTGAATTTTGCATCCAGTACTGAATTTTTGTGGTACTTTTACCCTGTCCTGCTTACTATTTTGTACATACTATAATAAACACAATGGTACAATTTACTATAATAAATTTTAAGTTTACTGTTTTGCACCAGGCACTACTTTTGGCTCATGATAAAGTTGCTGAGCAGGAAATGCAACCAGAATCAGTGGCAGATGAAAAGTTATATGAAAATGTTGGTGTGTATGGAGGAGAAACAGTTAAAATTGTTCGCATTGAGAAAGCTAGAGATATTCCATTGGTAAGTATACTAAATGTGATCTGGAGAAACACTGACTGCCATATTTTTCATAATGCTTGATCTGATTATTATAGTACATTATAATACATTATCTGAAAAAAGGAAATACAAATACTCTTTCTCAGGTATATAAAAATGTGCAAATCATTTTCCCACAGTACTACTGGCTTTGTAGACTGATAAATAATGAGTTTTTGCTCACATTCTCAGATTCTCCTGAAAATTCTGATCTATTTTAAACAGATTCAAGTGCTGGTTTCTCATATATATTTTTCTGCAAAAATTGAATTGAAAATTGAGCATAATTTCGGTATTTATAAGACATAGCTCTCAATCTTCCTCAATATATGAATATGCTAAAGACTAATTTAAGAAACCTATTAGGTATTGCTGTTGTTTTCCATATAAAGTATGCTAAAAAAAATTGGCATTACAGATTTTTTTATGAATCTTTATAATTCATTTCAGTAAACCGCTGTGCTTTGGATAAACTACACAGCAGGATTGTTTTCCTCTGCTACACTACACTAATTCTGTAATTGCACTCATATTCATCACAGTATATAGAAACAATTGTAGAGATGATCTTGGAAAGGAGGAGTCATTAAGGGACACAATTTGGGGAAATGAAAAACCTTGTAGCAAATAGCCTTTGATTCTATTTGCTACAAGGTTGGGTAAAAAGAAACTCTGATATCCTTTCACACTTCTGCTTATTATACCTTTGTAAAAATAGTTTTGCTGGAATACTTGTGATGTGTTTCCAGACTTGCCATATCTTGAAAGGCTGACAGGATACATGCATCTTTACCATTATATCACAACTCTTCTTCCCAAAGGACATTTTTGTTTTTGTCACTTTATATTTGTATGATACATTGAAGAAAAATGGGGGGGGGGGGGGGAATCTGGTTATTTGTTCTGGCTCTATGAGCCACAAAATCTAAGTATGACATTGTACATTTATTAGTAGAGAGATTTAATTTTTTTTAATGATTGGCACAAGATGCCATAATGCATTTTGTGTTTTTGTTGTTGTGCTAACAATAGAAACATTACCTAGAAACTGTAATTTCAGTTTTCTTTCTTTTCATTCTATTTTTAGCCTACTCCTGAAAGACTGCAGAATACCATTCACAAACAAAAATGCATGATTCTCTTGCAGATTTTCTGTCTTCTGTGTTAGTCTGTGGAATAGATCAGACCAATTTTAAGATGTCTGGACTTCAATTCCCAAAGTTCCCCAGCCAGCATGTAGAATAGAAGTCTAGACATTTTAAATTTACCATGGTAGAGAAACACTGGAATAGACTGACAGATTGATCTTAAGGTGCCTGAGTGGTAGTTTCAATCTGGTTCAAATCAAACTTTTTTTAATTTTAATAATAAGGTATTTCTCCTTATCATCTCAAATGTTCACTTTCTATTACATAGGGTGCCACAGTGCGAAATGAAATGGATTCAGTCATCATTAGTCGAATAGTGAAGGGAGGTGCTGCTGAAAAGAGTGGGCTGTTACATGAAGGTGATGAAGTTTTGGAAATCAATGGAACTGAAATTCGTGGGAAAGATGTTAATGAGGTTTTTGACTTACTGGTATGTTATGTCACTTATTTGATAGAACCAGTTTGGTATAATGGTTAAGGCATCGGGCCAGAAATCAGGAGACAATGAGTTTTAGTCCTGCCTTGGTCAAAAAGCCAGTTGGGTGACCTTGGGCCAGACACTTTGTCAGCCCTAGAAAGGAGGTAATGGCAAACCACTTATGAAAAACCCTGCCAAGAAAACTGCAGGGACTTGTTCAGGCAATACAATTGAAAAAAAAGGGGGTGGGGCAAAGAAAACTTCCTGATGTTATCCTTAGCACGCCAATTACAAATGGCAACAGTTTCAAAGAATCAGTTCTTGGAGCTCCATCAACTCCCATTTATAGAAGTCAAAAATTTTGTTTAGGATGAACTTTAATGGCATGCATAAGCTTCTAAGTTTATATTTCTGGAATGTTTAATCTTTATGTTGTAACTATTTCTGATTTAAATACGTTTTACCAACCAAAATTTCCATGTGTATCTTAAAATATAATGAGAATGGCTTAACATCTGTATGTTCCACCAAGAAAGGCTGATTATCATATTGTTAATAAAAAAAACAGTACAAAACACAACACAGTAATTACAAATAAATTGAATTGCTTTGAACCCAATAAACAAATATTAACCCTAAAACAATCAGCATAACAATACATTAAGATGTGCATGGGATACAGCCTAGTGCTTATGCATCCCTAATTTAATTTAAAACAAGTATCTTACCTTGAGTACAATGCCAGCTTGATGATCTTGGCCCAGTCACTTTCTTTCAGCTCAGCTCATCTTACAGAGTTTATTTATTTATTAAAAATTGTTGTGCCATGCATCTCACTGGTACAGTGAAGTTGTAGTGGGGAAAATAGGAGGAGGAAGGAGCATTACATATGTTTACTGCCTTGAATTATTTATAAAAAAGATTAGAGATTATAAATAAATAAACACACAAATAAATAATAAATCATATCCCACTCTTTATTTGAAAAACTCTTCTAAAAGTTCTTTGGCATAAAGAAATGAAAACAATAACAGAGTATGTATAGTGTCAGAATCCAGCAGATTAAAATATATTGGAATATTGACAAAAAGTTAATTTATAAATAAAAACCGGGAATACTCTGTCTCCGAAGTGTGACCTGAATAATGGTACCATTCTCATTGCTAATCTGTTTATGATGTTAGGTCTGATACGCTTGGCCGATTTTTAAAAGAAGAATAATGCAGCATTTTATATCAGAATACATCCAAATGGAGTGAAATATAGGATCAGCATACAGAAAGAAGACAGAACAGTAATTTACCAAGAAACCTAAGATTATTTTAAATTATCATTCATTGATGCTTTTCTTCACAGGCAGACATGCATGGTACTCTGACATTTGTGCTGATTCCAAGCCAGCAGAACAAGCCCCCACCTACTAAGGAGACAGTGGTATGTGATATGTGAACTTCACATAACAGAGGTTCAGTTGATGTTTATACGCTGGATTTTTTAAAAAAAATATTCTCTTTATTTATATTTGTTTATTTATAAAACTTATTGGCCATCCATCTTACCATAGGGGAACTCCAGAAAACTTACAGTGATAAAAATATATCTATACATATATGTTAAAACAAAAATAAATTAAAACCAAACATTAAAATCTAAGGACATGTTATTCAGAGTCACTTGACATTTCAAAAACTAAGCAACTTCAGACCACCTATTCCTTGATTCTTGGTTATAGCAATCTAAAATTCACTTTTTGAATTTTACTTAGAGTCCTGCCCCAATTTATTATTTAAAGGAAGTATTCAGGCTTTATGAGAAGGAAAAAAATTAATTTAAAAAGACTCTTGAGTCTTGTATAGTTCTACAAGTGTCTGGAGCAGTAATTTGAAGAGCAAATTCCTTTTCTAACAGGCAGGAGAAAATAAATAGGATGATAAAGGGTTTCTGAATTGTTATGTCCACATTTTAGCTGAAGAAGCTTTTTGGATAAGAAGCGAAACGTTTTCAAAGAAAAACCCAAAAGTCCAATTGTCTCTTGAAAAAGCACCTTTGAGACATCCACATCTTAGTGGTTTCCCTAGTATCTGTTGTCCCTTCCCCATGAGAAGCATTGGGAGAAGTACAAGGACTAGTAACAGAGAAGAGAAAATCCTCCTGGGCTGGCAGCTTTCTTGTTTCTTAACATGAATAAATTTACTAATAGTGCATCCTGTAAAATCTAAAACACCAGGATAGTCAAACCTCCTCTATCCAAGAACTGCCATTCGTGAGAATGACCAGTGCAGTTTCCAACTCCTGCTCAGGTCTGAAACCAGAATGCCCGGGGTCTTAGTTAGTCCATATCCTCCAGAGCTCTTTGTGTATTGGCCCCACTATGTTCCTAGTCCGCTTTCCTCCTCCCAAAAAAAGAAGGGTAGAAATTGTTCAGTTTTGTTAGATTGGTGCCTGGTTTCTTGAGAAGTGGGCAAACCAATAGTTCTTTAAGGACTTCTGATAGCTCCCACTTAATCACAGCTGAGATCCAACTTCGAGTCTCCTGCCTTACTGCTTTAATTCATCAGATGGGGGATAGATCGAGTTCACAAGTGGCAAAGCTAAGATTGCAGAGGACTCTGTTCACTTTAGGGGATCTGTGGGTCCAAAAGCCTCCCAGATAAAGGTACAACATGTTACTTCTAACATTTCTATAGATTCTGCTTATCCATCTTCTAATTGGGAACATAAGGAAATAATTTTATCTATGAAATTCTCAGGTTACATTCATTTCTTGAGCATCGTTCCAGCTGTCTCTTTGCCTCCTTCACTTCACAATGCTTCTCAATAAATCAAAGAACTGCATGGGTTCAGTGGGCAGAGAGTGCCTAGTCAGGGTACCTGTTAAGCACCCTAGTTGTCTCTATATTCCAGTATTCAGCAAGGAGCCTAACAGAAGGCTGTCCAGGTTCCTGGGGAACTCCAGGAAATCTGTTGAACCCATCAGATGTTGTGTCCATTGGGAGTTTTAATCTGTTTTTGAAGTAAGGGTATTTAAAAAGGGGCAGGGGACTTCTTACTAGAAATTAATCATTAAAATTGTCTATCCATTTTTGTGTTTGCATATTTTTTTTGTCCTAGATACATGTGAAGGCTCACTTTGACTACGATCCTTCTGATGACCCTTATGTCCCTTGCAGAGAGTTAGGGCTGTCTTTTCAAAAAGGAGATATACTCCATGTGATCAGCCAGGAAGATCCAAATTGGTGGCAGGCTTATCGAGATGGAGATGAAGAAAATCAGCCTTTGGCAGGCCTCATTCCAGGTACTTAATGTTAAGAAAAGCAGAAAATTCACATGGACAGTCATAAAATATTCCCACCCCACCCTGCTGGGGATGACAACATTTCAAATGCTTTATATTGGTCTCTTGAGCAAAGAATTTTTTTTTAATTTTGTATGATGCTTTCTAATATAATACAATCATTATTCCCTTTTTGAAGAGTTGACAAAAGGCAGAAGCAATAGCACAGTTAATACCAGCAGTTTAGTGACCTGGTGTTCTCTTAGGTTTTTAATCATGAAAACTTAATGTTTGGTTATGTGCTCATTTTATTGTTACATCTTCAACAATAGTATCATGTTTTAAAACTAGTTTTTCCTGTATATTTGAAGTGTAATCAGTAATATTGAAATTAGAAGCAAATACGTGCAAGTGCTATTGGTCTTAAATAAAATATGTATAAAATGTATTGAAGTTACAAAGGGAATATTCGCTGTAGGGCAAAGGCTTGCAACTGAAATGGCTCCTACTATATATAGCAAATAATAAATTTAAATTTATTCATGTTAATAATGCAGGAATCCTACTGTTTCCTTAAGATACAGCAAGATAGAATTGACCTATTAATAAACATTAGTTTGGGAATTTATTATTTAAATTGCTATAAATGTACTTTTTCACAAGAACAAAAGCATTCTATTATTGTACCATATTAATGACTAGCAAAGTATCACAGCCCTTTTTATTAGTCCTTTAGAACACTACAATGAAAATAGATAAAGATCCCACCTCCACCCTATTTATGTGCTGGTTCCTTTTTAACTCAGTTTTTGTTAACTTTTAATGCTGTTTTTAATATTTTAATATTTTATATCACTGTTTTATGATGTTGTAAGCCACCCACAGTGATTCAACAATAAGATGGACAGCATATAAATTTCATAATTCACTAGAGAAAGCAATTAAGTTTGGAAGAGTTAGTGGTAAAAGGAAACTAGGACAGCAAAAAACTCAGTGGCTGTACAGCATGAAAGCTGATACCAGCCAGAGCATAGAAAAAAACCAAAGTGTAGTGCAAGATTGGAAGATATGGAGAGACCTGGCCCAAAGAATTGTCAGACACAACTAAATGAATATCATCATCATCAAAACAAAAAAGTAGACATAAAAAGCAATAAAATTGCATAACATAAATTAATAGAGTAAGATCTATTTATTAAATTTATATGCTGCCCATCTTATTGTTGAATGACTGTGGGTGGCTTACAACATCATAAAACAGTCATAAAATATTAAAACATTAAAAACAGCATTAAAAGTTAACAAAAACCGAGTTAAAAAGAAACCAACACATAAACTGGGTGGAGGTGGGATCTTTTCAAAATACTATCTCCAATGAAGGATGCCCCCACAGGACCCCCAACTAATTGGCTGAGCCAGGTCTTCAGGCCTTTTTGGAAGGCTAAAAGGGTGGGGACAGATCTCACCTTGCGGGGCACAATGTTCCAGAATAGGCTCTTGACCCCATCAGCCAAAGTTCCTTGGCCAACTGGATTCATAGGAAGCTCCTACTGCTAGAGCAAGTGGGGTGAGCCAATCCCATAATACAGAAGTGGTTTCAGAATTAATTTGAACCTGAATCCATTTTATGCCATTGTCTTGACTTGCAAAAATAGATAAAAGAAAATAGCTCACAAGGTGAGAAGAATATTCCTCATAGAATTTTATGAAAGATATATGCGTAGTGATCAGTGGCAGTTTTCTTCAAGCCTATTTTGAAACGCTCTCAAAATAACATTTTATTATTATAAGAAAGATACTGTTAAGTTCTTTCAGTGTTAATTCTCATACATATTTTCTTTCATGAAGGAAAAAGTTTTCAGCAGCAAAGAGAAGCAATGAAGCAAACTATAGAAGAGGACAAAGAGCCAGAAAAATCAGGTAAGTGGAAAACTTCAAAAATACTTGTGTTGACAAGCTTAGTGTTTTTCAGTTGTCTTAATAGTTGCATAGATGGATTTACTATCTGGACAATTGATTTGTCTTAAGAAAGGTGATCGGGTTTAATTATCCTCTTTCTTTTAACATCTACCTCAGTGTTTTTCAAATTTGGCAACTTTAAAGTGTGTGGACTTCAACTTTCCGGGCGTGCTGCCGTGGGGATTCTGGGAATTGGAAGTCCATATATCAACTTTAACATGGTCTTTCTTAAGTGCAGTTCTTATATGCAATTTTTCTTCACAAGTATTGTTTAGAAAAAACAGCTACAAAGACTGAGTTGAGTAACTGACTGTTTTTTGGTTGCTTTTAGGAAAACTTTGGTGTGCAAAAAAGAACAAAAAGAAACGGAAGAAAGTTTTGTACAATGCCAACAAAAATGATGGTAAGAAAGGGTTTCAACCGACTTCAGGATACTTTTTTCTAAATGAATGAAGTGTTAATGGGATATGGTACAAGTAGTCCTCAACTCGCAGTCACAAATTGGGATCAGAATTTTTGTTGCTAAGCAAAGTGGTTAAGTAAATCGCACCCAATTTTAGGATCTTTTTTGCTACGGTTGTTAAGTGAATCACTTCAGTTTTTAAGTGAATCATGCGATTGTTAAACAAATCCAGCTTCCACCATTGATTTTGCTTGTCAGAAGCTAGCTGGGAAGGTCATAAATGGTGAACCATGACCTCAGGATGCTGAACTGTTTTAAATGAGTACCAGTTGCCAAGTACCCAAATTTTGATGATGTGACCATGGGGATGCTACAGTGGTTGTAAGTGTAAGGATTGGCTGTAAATCATTTTTTTCAATGCCTTTGTAACTTTGAATAGTTGCTTTAATGAATAGTTATAAGTGGAGGACTACCTGTAAAACTTTCCTTCCTCCTTTTTTTAAATCAAAACGTACAATAGTTATGATAGTTCAGTTGCTTACTTTAAAAATAAATTAGTCATACAGACCCATTTAAAATATTTGAGATATATCTTTTATATATGTTCTCCTGTCTCTTGTCCTTTTTGTTTGGTTTTGTACACATTCATGATTACTACCAAACTGTAACTTATTTGAGAGGTCAGTGTCTCCATAGCAGTTCAGAAATGATTCTGATCTTCAGGAATACAGGTATCCTCAATTTACAACTAACAATTGGGGCTGGAAATTCCATCATTTAGCAGTACAGTCCTTAAGTGAGTCATGCCTCATTTTGTGATCTTTTTGCCTGGTTGTTAAGCAAATACAGCTTCCTCCATTGACTTTGCTTGTCAGAAGCTCCCTAAGAAAGTTGCAAATGGCAGTCATGCAACCCTGAGTTGCTGCAACCATAAAACATACATGCCAAGTTGCTAGGTGCCTGAATTAGATCACATGGCTATGAGGATGCTGTGATGGTCATAAGTGGGAGGGCTGGTCATAAGTCACTTTTATCAATAATGTCATAACTTCCAATGGTCATTAAACAGATGGTTGTAAATTGAAAACTACATGTATGAATATTTCTTTTAATCTGGATCAAAAATTTGGATGGGAAATAGACTTTCTGTTTTGATACTTCATGTAATGAAGAAAGATGCCAAAAAGCATGTGATCACAATTCCACATCTAATATTTTGGATCATTATTTGAGTGAATAATTTTCTTAATCTATTAAAGGCATTTCAGAGTACTTTTATTATTAATTTAAATCTCAACTTTGTCAATCTATATCATGCATGTGTATATATGTGTATATGTATGTATGTCTACATGTGTGTGTCTATATCTGAAGCCACACAATACAGTTTATTAATTACTAATAAAAAGCTTTTTGGGTAGACTGAATGCGACCACATGTTTGTTGGACCTGTGCCCCTCCTGGTTAGTGCTGGCTTCCCGGGAGGTGACGCGAGGCTGGCTCCAGGGGATTATAAATGCTTCATTGAGTGAGGGTGTTTTTCCCGCCGCCTTGAAAGAGGCGGTGGTGAGACCTCTCCTCAAGAAGCCTTCCCTGGACCCGGCAATATTGGCTAATTATCGTCCAGTCTCCAACCTTCGCTTTGTTGCGAAGGTTGTTGAGAGTGTGGTGGCACGACAGTTTCCCCGGTACCTGGATGAAACGACGTATCTAGATCCGTTCCAGTCGGGCTTCAGGCCTGGGTACAGCACGGAAACAGCATTGGTCGCGTTGGTGGATGATCTCTGGAGGGCTCGGGACAGAGGTTGTTCCTCTATCCTGGTCCTATTAGATCTCTCAGCGGCTTTTGATACCATCGACCATGGTATCATGCTGCACCGGTTGGAAGGGTTGGGGGTGGGAGGCACCGTATTACGGTGGTTCTCCTCCTTTCTCTCCGACCGGTCGCAGTCTGTGTTGACAGGGGGGCAGAGGTCGACCCCGAGGCCCCTTATATGTGGGGTGCCACAAGGATCGGTCCTCTCGCCCCTTTTGTTCAACATTTATGTGAAGCCGTTGGGCGAGATCATCCGTGGTTTCGGGGTGGAGTACCATCAGTACGCTGACGACACCCAGCTGTACATCTCCACCCCAGACCACCCCAACGATGCCCTTGAAGTGATGTCCCGGTGCCTGGAGGCCGTACGGATCTGGATGGGGAGAAACAAGCTCAGACTCAACCCATCCAAGACCGAGTGGCTGTGGTTTCCGACATCCCGATATAGTCAGCTGGTGCCATCGCTGACTATTGGGGGCGAAGCATTGGCCCCCACGGAGAGGGCTCGCAACTTGGGTGTCCTCCTGGATTCACGGCTGTCTTTAGAAGAGCACTTGACGGCCGTGACCGGGAGGATTTTTCATCAGGTTCACCTGATTCGCCAGTTGCGTCCCTTTCTGGATCGGGACTCGTTACGCACGGTCACTCATGCCCTCGTCACCTCCCGTCTGGACTATTGTAATGCTCTCTACATGGGGCTCCCCTTGAGGAGCACTCGGAGGCTCCAACTGGCGCAGAGTGCGGCCGCGCGGGTGGTGATGGGAGCGACGTGGCGCTCCCATGTAACGCCTCTCCTGCGCGAGCTGCACTGGCTCCCGGTGGTCTTCCGAGTGCGCTTCAAGGTTTTGGTCATCACCTTTAGAGCGCTCCATGGCTTAGGACCTGGTTATCTACGGGACCGCCTGCTACCACCAATAGCCTCCCACCGACCAGTACGCTCCCATAGAGAGGGGCTCCTCCGGGTGCCGTCGGCCAAACAATGTCGACTGGCGGCCCCCAGGGGGAGAGCCTTCTCTGTGGGGGCACCTACTATCTGGAACGAGCTCCCCCCCGAGATACGGAGGATTCCGGACCTGCGTACCTTCCGTCGCACGCTGAAGACGTTCCTATTCCAGCAAGCCGGCCTGACCTAAACTTCTCCTCTTTTAAATGGGAATTTTAAATTTGGTTTTAAATTATTGGGGTTTTAAATATGGTTCAGCCAAATTTATCTAACTTGTTTTATTTCTATTTTAAATTTTGTATTTATATGTTTTATCTCATGGCTGTTCACCGCCCTGAGTCCTTCGGGAGTAGGGCGGTATACAAATTTAATAAAATGAAAATAAAATGAAATGAAAATGAATGTGCGCATTGCAATTTAGTATCAACATTAGCAACTTGTAATATAACACTTCACAATACATGCACCCACATTTATTGCATGTATAACACAAATGTTGCATTGGGTTACTTATATAGGCGTCCTGTTATAATATGCATACTGCTTTCTTGGTCAGTTGACTAGGAAGGCACTATGTATATTATTACATATAGAATATCTGTCTACCTATCATTTTCTTTTTATCATCTATCATATAATTGTAAAAAATAGCTGAGTAGCAGCAAAAGAAATGAGCAAAAGAAATAACTCTTCAAATTATTGTTAAAATTCTAACAGTTCTGATATTTGCAACATAGAATTTATATTTCTCAACCTGTCAGTGCTACAAGAATTATTTTTTTTTACAAAAGAATAAGCTTTTAAAATTTGTACATTTATCCTGGGCCTTCTTTTTGAAGATTATGACAACGAGGAGATTTTGACTTATGAAGAAATGTCACTTTATCACCAGCCAGCAAATAGGAAACGACCTATTGTCCTGATTGGTCCCCAGAACTGTGGTCAAAATGAACTGTGGCAAAGATTAATGAATAATGAAGCTGATCGATTTGCTTCTGCAGTTCCTCGTAAGTTGAAATTGTGGGCATGTCTCTGCTCTATTTCTTAATATGTCACTTTCTAGCTTAGTACACTTGACATATTATGATATTGAGGGAAGATGCTTTAGTCTAATCTTACTTCGTTGGGTATTTGTTATATATGTAATTAATAAACATGAAGTCATCATAAAGAAAAATTTCTCAATCTCATTTACAAAAACTTCATATTACCAATTTAATTATTTCTCATTTTTAAGAATGTATTATTATTCTGTTAAGTTTCAATAATTTCAATTGCATGTGTCATTTTCTGCATCCTGTGTTCAGCAGTGTTCTTAATTCAGCTAGTGTTTGGAAGTGTGCTATATATAGCTGGATATGTGCCATATGTTACATGTAACAATTTTTGTATCCATTTAAAGAATTGTAGTCTTTTGGATATAAAACTAAAAGTTCTTAATTTAGCTCAAGGACACTCGACTGAAAAGTTTTTGCAGCTTTTTTTCATAAAGTCTTGAAAATTGATACATTATAATACTATTTATGTACCTTCTTGCTCAAGATTTATTAAGTCTGCTTACTGGTCTTTTTTAGATACAACACGTAATAGGAGGGACAATGAAGTAGCTGGCAGGGATTATCATTTTGTATCACGGCAAGTATTTGAGACTGATATTACAGCAGGAAAGTTTATTGAGCATGGTGAATTCGAGAAGAATCTGTATGGTACCAGCATAGACTCTGTCCGGCAAGTGATCAATTCTGGAAAGATATGTCTCTTAAATCTTCATACACAGGTAATGACATAGGTTTTGGACTCTAAAGTTTTAAATTTTGTTTGTTTGTTTATGTCCTGCCTATTTTTACAAATAGTTCAAGGTGGAGAACCTATCCAGCGCAGTTTCTTTCTCCTACCCTGTTTCCCACAAAATAAGACATCCCCTGATAATAAGCCCAATTGGGCTTTTGAGCGTATGGCAATAAGGCTTATTTCAGGGTTCAAAAAAATGTAAGGGTCTTATTTTTGGGGAAACACGGTATTTTCCCCACAACAACAACACTGAGGTGGGTTGGACTAAGAGAGAGTGACTGGCTCAAGGTCACCCAGTCGGCTTTCATGGTTAAGGCGGGACAAATTCATACTCTTTTGCTTTCTAAACTGGTGCCTTAAGCATTAGACCAAACAGGCTCTCAGCTTCAGAATATTTTTGATTAAACTTTATTGTACCGCAATGATTGATAACCATGAAATGGTTTCTGTTTTGTTAAGAAATTTAAATATTAGCTGTTAACGCTGCATATTTAAGGCTAATTTGTATTAATAATCAATTTATGTGGCAGTGATGCTGAAAAACGTATAGTTGAACCAGTGGTGGGATTCAAATAATTTAACAATCAGTTCTCTGCCCTAATGACTGGCTGGGTGGTCATGTGACTGGGTGGGCATGGCCAATTTGATTGGTCTCACCCTTAGGAAATTTCTCCTTAGTCCAACTCACAATAAAATAGCACAATAAAATAGCACTGTTCCAATATTTGGAATGGAATGGAATAACAGAGTTGGAAGGGACCTTGGAGGTCTTCTAGTTCAACCCCCTGCTTAGGCAGGAAACTCTACACCACTTCAGACAAATGGTTGTCTAATCTCTTCTTTAAAACTTCCAGTGTTGGAACATTTACAACTTCTGGAGACAAGTTGTTCTACTGATTAATTGTTCTGTCAGGAAATTTGAGGGGCTCTTACAAAAATGAGGGGGTCAATCTATTTTCCAAAGTACCAAAAGGCACGACAAGAAAAATGGATGGAAACTAACCAAAGAGAGAAGCAACCTAGGACTAAGAAGAAATTTCCTAAGGGTGAGACCAATCAATCAATGGAATAGCTTGCTGTCAGAAGTTGTGGGTGCTCCATCACACACAAGCAACACAGTTACAAGATAATTTGAAATCTTTAGTGTCTAATACTGTAAGCTAACTCTTAAATGCTGAAAATGCAGGTTCAAAATACATAAACATAGAAACAGCATTGCAACTCTATTCCAAATTAATAAAATCAATTCTGCTAATTAGAATGTATATTTAAAAAGACATAAGAACTCTGACAAGAAACTCCTGCTCTGTATTAACATTTTTAAAACTCCTTCCCGGGACTAATCCTGTCAAGAACAAGGAAAGATTCAATCTAGAAATAAGGAGGAATTTTTTGACAGAACAATCAACCAATGGAACAGCTTGCCTTCGGAAGTTGTGGGAGCTTCATCACTGGAAGCTTTCACAAAGAGATTGGACTGCCATTTGTCAAAAATGATATAGGATCTGCTTGGGCAGGGGGTTGGACTAGATGTCCTACAAGATCCCTTCCAACTCTGTTAATCTGTATGATCTGTAAATTTCTATTGTTTCTGTGCTGACTGCATTCCTGCGGTTTTGTTATTGCAACTAAGTATTTGCCTGTTAAGTTCTTGGCTGTCTGCCTGGGCCGGAGCTATTAATTGAAGGGAGAGAGAAGGAGGGAAAAACCTCTCTTGCACTTTAAGCCTAAGTTTTAAAGGGGCTAGAATTTTTCTGCTGAGGAAATGGCTATGTGGTTATTTCTTCTTTTCCTTTTCCCTTCCTTTGGTTAATTAGAAACGAACAGGAACGTCTGAGGTGTGTGTGAGCTACTAGAATCGTTAGACAGGCAGGCAGCCTTGACTATTCAGCTGGTTCGCAGAACTCCACAAAGAGTTAACAAACAGTTCTCCCAAACCAGTTGAATCCCACCCCTGAGTTGAATACAGTTGCCTTAACTTTCTCTTTAGAGACTACTTTTTGCAACTTTTCACATTCCAGTTCTTATTACCACAGACACTGGAAGTTGTACATCCTTGTAATATGGCTTAACATATTTTTAAATTTTTAATTTTTAATTGGTTTGTCATTTTAAACTGGGGCCAAATTAATATATATTCTTTTAATTGTTCTTAATGTTTGTATTGTATGTTTTTATCTGGCTGTACACCGCCCTGAGTCCCTTGGGAGAAGGTGCGGTATAAAAATTTGAAATAAAAAAAAATAAAAAAAATTAATATAGTTGGTCATACCCCAATACATCTTAGCATACATAATAGTGTACTAGTAAGAAATCTATAAACATTTTTTTTATTTTTTTCAACAGTCAAATTTAAATTAAATTAAACTTAAAAAGCAGAGAATGGTCTTATACAATCCTTGAGTTCCTGAAAAAGTCATGTCCAAATCTAGATTTATTATTATAATAATACATTACTTTCTATTATTACACTACTAATATGTTAAAGGTTTTTTTTCATTATATAGCTTTTAATCATATCTGTTGTACTTCTTATGCAACTTTCTGTAAAATGGCAGATTTGTGGATAACATAGGCTAATATTAAGAAGACTAGTCTTGAATTCAGTTGCCCAAATCTAGTTCCTGTTTCCAATTTGTATCATGTTATGACTAATCTTTGATGGTTTCATTTTGTTTGGTATGGGTATTAATAGCACAAATTTGATTTTTACATTTTGATTTTGATTTTTTGATTTTTACATTTTGATTTTGATTTTTAGTCATTGAAGAGTTTACGCAATTCAGACTTGAAACCATATATTATCTTCATTGCACCTCCTTCACAAGAACGGCTTCGTGCATTGCTGGCCAAAGAAGGCAAAACCCCAAAGGTAATACTCATAGGTAATATTTTCAATTGTGTTGCTTACATTTTTGGATAACTCCACTATCATTATATGTTTTCAGTCTTGTTATATTTTCCAGTATCATCCCAATTAACTTTCTTATGGCTGAGTGCCCTTGTCACATTAGTAATGTTTAAAGAGGGAAATTATATAGTTATGTTGTAACCTACTAGTTGAAATTATATAGTTACGCTCTAATCTACTAGCGCTACTAGAATTTTGGTTCTAACTTCATTGATTTCCCTTTTCTGTTAATGATCTTGTGGTTAACATCCAACTCTACTTAACAAAATAATTTCCCCTAATTCTTAAAGTTAGCCTAAATTTGTAGTGACTTCTACTAGGTTAAGGGAGGTAAATTTAATAAAAGCAAGGAGAAAACAAAGATAGACTTCTTTGGACTCCCCCTCACAAACTTCCATTGTTTGTTAAAACTTGTCAGAAATGCTTTGGATTAAAAAGAAAAAAGAAAATCAGTAGTTCTTATCCTAACATTTGTCTGTCTTGTATATTGCTTTCTCTTATGCAGCTGAGTTCTGTTTTTTTATAAGGTTATCTGTATGCATGTGAGAGACAGCAAGATAAATATTACTGATATAGGATATTTTTTCCATTTCAATTTCAGCCAGAAGAACTAAGAGAAATCATAGAGAAAACCAGAGAGATGGAGCAAAATAATGGCCATTACTTCGATACAGCGATTGTGAATTCTGATATTGACAAAGCATATCAAGAATTACTTCGTTTAATTAACAAACTTGATACAGAACCTCAGTGGGTTCCATCCTCTTGGCTGCGATGAAAAGAGAACCATGCCAATGAAGAAAAGGTTTTTGCCAATTGCATCCTTTTCATCCTTACTAATTCGTTTAATCCTCAAATCCAACAATGTTGCTGTGATTGTAGAATGTCTGGCTTTCTCTACTTTTAATTAGACACAGTGTGAACAAGCCACATTTTAATTATTTAAATAGGTTTTTCTAACAGTTTCTTTTTGTCTAGAGTTTTGTTCTTCAAGCAAGTATATTTATACAGTCCGTGATCATTACTAATACAGGTTACTTTACACTGGTAACTTAATGATCTAATGAAAATATTGTAGCTCTCAAAAATACCTTTACAAAACATTGGATGGATGAAATAATCAACAAGAAAAAGGAACTAATCTGCACATTTTCTTCTTAATAGTATAAAGGGGCCACTTATATGTTGTCCTTAAGCTTGAATTTTTTAAAATTTAAAATTTAATTTTAATTTTTTTAATTAAACATTCCTTTATCTAATAGCACTGCAATTTTTTAAAAATATGTACAATGTAAATAATCAAACATTTTTTGTCTTTAGATACTTTGTAAATCAGATTGATAGCTTATTAAATAATGAGATTCCACTGAAGATGAATTCTATGTATGAGTCAATATTTGAGATGTGATATTTTTATGGATTTCCCCCCCTTTTGCCTATATCACTTGATTGGGAGCCACTGGTATCCCAAAGAACTATGGAACATTTTAGAAGGGAAGCTATATTTTTATGACAATTCTTATATGGATTTTTTTACAAGGCTTTGCTTCCTTACAATGTAAAATTGTTTTCATAAACAAACAAATGAAAACTAGAGTTGGGAATAGTGAATATTAGCGTATATTCTTGTATTTTTATACCTAGGCACAAGACATCTCATGGCTGTTGGAATTAGTATTAAGTAATCAGGTTATAGCCCTGGTACAGTAACATAATATAGATGTTAGGAACTTGTCTTATCCTTTTTTCTAAAAATCCCTACTGAAAAGGTCCATTGGGTAAATATTGGCGGCTTCTCCAGTAATAGCTGTTTTGGAAATAGATTAGTTTTGTTACTTTATTGTTGATGGCACCCTTGAATGTGAATATTAATAAATGTTTTTCTCAACCATAGCTTTTATTTTTATATACTGTCTTACACTGGAATTACTTCAATGTGTCGTTGAATAGGTGAAGTATTAGCTATTTCTTTATGTTATTTCATTTTTTTCCTCATAATGTATGAAATAGAAAAGAACTTTGCAAGAATAATACTTTTCATTGTTGAACATGCTATATGGCATGTAGCAACTGTGGAAAAACTGGCTTAAGAACTGAAATTGTTCAGTATTATAAGCATCCCTCAGAAAGCAAGAAAAGAAGAAAAAATAAAAAATGGAAATATAAAACAGTTCCCTCCCATTCAAATTCTGTATAGTCTTATATTTATAAACTGATGGTAAAATAATCATTTAGTAATGTGCCTCATCCAGTAAAGCCTTTCAGTAGATAATAAAAATGACATGGAATAATTCCTAAATATGCATCTCCAATAGTCAACTTTGATTAGAATGCATGAGAAAGAAAAGTGGTGTTTTTTCCTCATTTGATTTGTGATAGTTTCAAATCTCATTTGATTTGATGATTCTTACAAGTCACTAAAAAAGGACTACACTTGAGATGTAATGCATCCCAGCTTTTTTCTTTGCTTAAGGGATCAGAAATGCACTATGGCACTGTTTCTCAACCTTAGCAATTTTAAGATGTGTGGACTTCAACGCCCAGAATTCCCCAGCCACCGTCCTGTCCTGTCTTGTATATAATTTAGTTTTGTTTATTCTAGTAAACTTGCATTGAACATTTAAAGCATAATTAAGTTTGTAGACCAGGCATACAACTTTGAACATGTATGTCCTGTTCTTTATAACTATTGTTGCAAAAATGACCATATCTCAATACCCTCTGCTAATCTTGAAAATTTTAACAAGGATAGGCTTGGATAAGAAATAATTAGAAAAAGATTAAACTGAGAAGTTGAAAAAGGCAGGGAAACATTTCAGTTTTGTTTCTAAGAATACTTCAAGCAAATGTCTATGAAATCACCCAGAATCAAGCACAATTTAAAGCAAAGTATTAGGATGATAGGATTACATTGTGGATAGTAAAATCTGTATTTGATTTTTTGCAATAGGTGTAACATGTAGAATTCCAACCTGCAACTTTTTTCACTATCATACTTGAATTCTGCTATAATCCAGGGTGCATTCTGGAGCAATAGATGAATTAATGATATTGATGTGACACAGCAGTGAGTGTATTACATGTTAAGATGCACAAAACAATGAATCCCTTTGTTATGTTTTTGTTGCCCTTTTAATGTCTAAGAATCTAGAGTTTGCTGAACAGAGAATTTACTAAATATTATAAGAAGATGGGTTTTTAAAAAAAACTACAGAAAACATTTACGGTAGTTAAACAGATGCAACAAAGCCAAATAATGGTATTAAGATTGTTAAAATGGTATTTTATAGATCAATCGGTAGTAATAAATCTATTCCTTTATTCTGCTGCTGAAAGCATGCATTTTGAAGTCTTTCAAAATGCATGATGATTAGAAAAAAATAGAGACATTGATTACTATTTAAGTGTTTTGCTATATGCTGAATGAGTGTACTGGATTTTTCTTGGCTATTGAAACAGGAACATTTTTAATCAATAAACATTATTTCATTGGCATGAATGTAACCGTGTCTAATAAGGACAATAAGAGGCTTGTAAGGTAACTGTGACAATGCACCAATGTTGTAAACTGTATGCTAATGTAAACATGTATATTTCCTGACTTCAAGTAAATGTTAACTGTTAATATATTTTTATTTTAGTGGCTTAATATTACAAAATATTGTAATAAAGGTGAGTGTATGGAATTAGTTATAAAAACTGCAATGCAGTCTGTTATGGTGATAAATATCACCAGCATTGTTCCAAATATCCTTCTACCAGCTTGGTGCTTCCAGATATATCTGGGGCTACAGCTCCCAGAATTCCTGGGCAGCATAGCCAAGATAAAGAATGCTGGAATTTGCAGTTATAAGAGATATGGGAAGTGCTTGATTGGTGAAGGCTAATTATGAGGCAGTTTTGCTATTCGGGCTCTGCATGCTTTGGTGACTCCAAATTCCCTTTTGTGACCATAACATCCCTGTTTATTAAAGCGTCTTGACATTTTTAGGGATTCTGGCAAGCCTGAAAAAAAGATTGCCACTGCTTAAAGCAGAGGTCTTCAAATTTGGCAGTTTTAAGTCTTGTGGACTTCCACTCCCAGAATTCTCTAACCAGCATAGCTGGCTGGAGAATTCTGGGAGTGGAAGTCCACAAGTCTTAAAGCTGCCAAGTTTGAAGGCCTCTGGCTTAAAGAAATCTGCTTATTAAAAATTAGTGAAACTCTTAAAACAGAGTTACCTTTTATTCAGGCTCCCATAGAAGCTGGATAAAACTCAGGCCATTTTAAGAAAGAATAGAGGTGCTGTCCTCATACAGGCCTCAAGCACTTTTGAAGTGCAATTACTATACCCTCTCAGCTGTCATTGAATTTATCAGTATACAAAATTATTTCCACTGACATTACCCAGACTTGTTCCAGGGAATCCCCAAACTCTGGAGTGCCCACGGAGTTACCAGTTTTGGAAGAATGTGTGTTCTACCAATGATATCTCTTCAGCTGGCAGATGGAGTTGGATATTACCCATTGTAGAGATGTGATGGCACTTCCTAAAGCCACAATGTACTATGGAGACAAAAGCCACCTGATTTTTATACTTGCTTGAAGTTCTTTCACTATTCAAGTGCATCAGTCCAATTTAAATTTTTTTCCTAATGATTCAATAGGAAACGATCTTGGCACAAGTCATTATCTGTGAGAGTACAATTCAGATCCATCAGATTAGCAAACTTGGGCATGATAACCAATATTCTCTATGCATTGTCCCTCCCCTTGCAGAAAAAGGTAAATTAGTAGAGATTACCTACTACACAGCTGATTCTCAAGGGTAATTTATTCCATGTTATAAATTTGCCCAAAAGTATTTAAATAAAAACTCTTAATCCTTGAGTAAGTTTGAGAATATTTTCAACCTGATTTAACAGCTCAGATACAGTTTGTAACAGCCTTATGACAAGTAAGGTACGGACTAAACAAATGAAACTTGAATATTGCGTGTGTTAAATTGTGAAGCTGTTTCACTGTCCTTTGAGAAAGAACTAGCAAATCTCGCACCATTTATTTGCTTACCAAAAATAAAGTTCACTTCTTACTTACTTTGCATAGTTATGTTTTGTATACACAAGAGCCTTATGCTGATTTGTAAATTTGCCTTTAGAGGGGAGGGGAACAGCATGAGTTCACATTTCTATTTGTCCCATGCAATTATTTATTTTCAATCAAGAAATTCTTGTTTCTTAAACTGTTAAATGTTTGTTACCCTTCTTGCATTTTCCTCCACTGCTTCTCTTTTGATATAGATATATTTCACAGACTGCTTACTGGTGTGTATCCAAGAATAAAGCCTAGGCAGAAGAACCATAAAGACAGGAATTTCCACTAGTCAGTCTGATATTAGCACACATACAAATACTCTTCCCTAATTGGGATTTCCGCTAAATGGGAAATCATGACTGTGCTTTCGACTGGTAAGAGACAAGACTACTCAGTTTCACACCTTCAGCTTTCGTTTAACTCCTAATTACCCCTCCTCCCTTTGGAATGCCCCATACCTGCTTACATCTTGTATTCATCAAAAGCAATTGCAAATGCTGCAGCCTGCCACAGGCATCTAGCTGATAATATCTTGAAATTTCTTTCTCTCCAATCTCTGATAGGGAAGGGGCTCAAGAAAAAAGAGATTCTCTACAAAAATCACTTTTTTTTCTTCCCATCTCCCTTGTATAATAGATTGGAGAGAAAGGGATTTCAAGAGAGAACTGTAACAGGCCTCCAATGCAGTCACATTGCTTTCAATGCGTGTAAGAGCAAACAAATTACTTTTTGGCAATCCATTTTTCTCCAATTAATCTGTTCTGCACTGTACTGACTGTAGTGGCGATCACGTCTTTCAATTACTGTTTGAGCTACAAGTCAAGAGCTACATGATGCAGAAGAAGACAACTAGCACCCCATGCAGGCTAAAGCAGCCATTGGTTTCTGGCTGATTTATTTATTTATTTATTAGTCGCATTTTTATGCTGCCCAACTCCCAAGGGACTCTGGGCGGCTAACAACAAAGAATAAAACAATGCGAACAATATCCCATACAAAAGTTTTAAAAGAAAACATTAAAACCCATACACTCAATTGATGAATGAGGGGTGACAATGGCAAACCACCCAAGGGACTTTTAGGACCACACTCTTCAGAATCACTTAAAGGATGTTTGACAAACACCTATAACATTCATTTGGCCATATTTCTTTATTGATTTTACAGTACAATCAACTGAGATACAATTTTGAATGCTTCTTTTTTAGGAAAGAAAAAAACTTAATTCCAAGTTATGAATTTCTGGACTGCTCACTATTCGATCTGTGACCATGAATAAAAATTATTACAAGAATTTGGCAGTACACTGGGAAATCATACTTCTATACCAAAGGAACGAAGACAGATAGGAAATTGAAATGATCCTGCTTCATGCAAGTAATTAAATAGCAATTTTCCACAACAAGGACATTCCCTGAATAGGTCTGGAGTGGAATATTCAAGCTAATACATCAAAGAAAGAACTTCACAAATAAGGTCCACAGAATAGCACAGCTTTTAGATTTCAGTCACAACTTTATATCCATAGCTATTCAAAGAGAAGATCCTCATCTTTTTCTTCTGCAAGCAAATTAGCAGGCTCTTGCACTCCAGCAGCCTTCCATAATTCTTGCAATTTTTCATTCTTCTCTTTCAGTATCTTTTTCTTTTCTTGGATCTTCTTTAATCTGGGAGGCATATGAGATCGACTTTAGTGATTTTGTTATTCATCCTTTTAGAATGGAACTGTAAGTAAAGTACAATATTACCCAAATTCCCCTCCCCATTTATAGAAAGGGAAAAATAACTTTTTTTAAAAAAGAGATGAGTGAACGGCAATGTGGATTCTTATTTATTGTAATGGCCAGGAACACCAAGGGCCCCCAGCAATACATTGAAGGAGGAGGAAAGGAGGTTACACAGGAATCTAATCTCGGGGTTATTTCGCTTGGATCACATGTAAATATTGTTCATATTATCCACCTTAGAAACAATGAAGGTATCCCTTAGTTAATCTGTCTTAGTCTGTTCCAAACAAAGCTTTGATTTACAGTCTGTTTTACTTTACGCAAAATTAACTGAGTAGGAATGATCAATTATTTCTCAAAGGCAGCCAGTTTTCAATGATTAACTCAAAAAGTTTTCAAGAAATAAATACTATAGAAGGCATCACAGCACTGAGAGATGCCATAAGCAGTTTGCTCTGCAGTAATACTTTTTGTATTGTAATACCCAACTGCTTAAAAATCACTTCCCTATATACCATCCAAAGTGCACTAAAATCACTTGGAAAGGCTGTGCTCAGATTTTGGTTCACAATGTAGTTAGGAGTAGGGTCCTCTCATTAATGGCACCCCAATCATGGACCATATGACTAATCCTTTATGTGTCAGAAAAAGAAGTTGACCTTAAAATCTAGTCTCCTGGATTAGATTTTAAGGTCAAAGTTGCTGGTCCTCTAGCAACTTCAGGTCTCAAGGACACCTAGTAGATGTAGCAACTTCATGACCACAAAGCCTTGCTTTGAAACTAGCCACATCACAGAACACCCTTCAGCCTCCCAGCAAGTGTTATGGTGGTCACTGTGGTGTAATGTCTTAAGATATCGGATGAAGAACGTGGAGACCCAGGTTCAAATCCACCTCGACCATCGGAGCTCAGTTAGTGACTGACCATGTTATTTTCACTCCAAACTACTACACAAGGTTAATTGTTGCCAAAAATTGGAGGGTAAAGATGATAAACTCTGGCTTCTACGGGATTTTTAATGCAGGCATTTTTCATCTTCTACACTTCGCATCAGAAAGCCAAAAATATTTCAAGATTCAAAATACTCAATATCTATCTTGCTGGCTTACCTGTAAAACTCCTCTCGTTCTCGCTCATCCAACTCGGTTATGATGTAAGACAGTGTGCGTTCAATTCTAGGGATAATCACTATATAAAAGGTAGTTGTTACTATCACACACAATTTTAAAAGAAGAACTTGTGTTATGTAGGATCTGAAATCTTAACCAGGTAATTCTCGACTTACGATCAGTCCCTTAACAGTTCAAAGTTATGACAGATTTCAAAAAAGCTACTAATGACCCGTCCTTGAAATTACAACTGCTGCCTCCCATGGTAACTGCATTTCAGGCATTTGGCTCACATTCACAACTGGTTTGCAGTAACCCGTGTTGACGGTATTTTGGCAGTTTCTAGCATTTTTTACCAGTTTCCAGCAAACAATGCCCATTTAGAAGAATGAATTTGCTTAATAATCACAAGATTTACTTATCAAGCACATGATTCACTTAATAACTATGACTATGGTGACTTGTTTTATGGCCATTGTAAAAACAGTTGTAGAATTAAGTCCAGTAACAACCACAAGTTAGGACTGAAATTCTGGCACTCCTTTGTGATTATAAATTGAGGACTACCTGTATGGAAATTCCCTCTCTATTACCAACTTATGTTTTATTTTGTTTTAACAGCATTACAAGCATTTCTTTGCCATTTAGGTGGATACTTTGGAGGGGAATTCAGCCCTTGAGGTCTCTTGGATCCCTCAGCACTCACCAACTTAAAAGTTTTGCATAGCCTAGGACTATGCCTTTGTTTCTCGGGAGTTCAGTCCAGGATGTATCTGAGGATATTCAAAAGACCTTAAGGGATGTCATTCAAGTTACATCAACTTGTTATGTACTGTGTCAGGCAACTGTGAATCTTCTCCATTTCTGATTTAATTTGTTTAGATTGATTTTGTTTTAAAGGGGGTTCATGTCTTCCCCATGATAGCACCTAACAACCACTTTTGTTCCTCTCCCACCCCTGAACTGGTGAGAAATGCTGTGGTTATCCAGGCAGTTCAAACCTAAAAAAGAAGAGAGCCATAGAGAAATGCAGATATTCTGGCAAATGAGAACAGCCATTCATATTTTCAATTGTTAGACATATAGAGGAACAGGATTTTTAGCCCAATGTAACAGAACTTCATCTTAGGCAGCCTTTACACAGGTAAAGCTATAGCACAGGTATTTATATAGCCATATAGGTATCTCAACACCAAAAACTATCAATCCATAGTGCATTAATGGTAGTATGAGACATTATAATTAGAAGCATAACAAAATAGTCATTTGATCCTTCTGCAGTGAGCCATAAATTACTGGCCAGTGTGATACAGGGTAAAGAAAAATGCTGTTTTTCTTGCTGTGAAACAATCGAGTAGGATAGTAAAATAACTTTCAAGTTTCACCAATCAAATGCAATATGCACTTCAGTATTCTACAACATTATAGTATTGTATAGTGATCATGGGCAGGTCAAAGTTTTATTTAAATTGGGTATACAAGCCTTTTGGGGGGCACAAGTATAACCCTTGACTTTAATCTCAGAGGAACAAATTCCGTCTTTCCAAAACAAGTAGAACCAGGACAAAGAACAATTAATTGACATGTAATTGAAATTAATGAAATATATTTTAACAAACCTATTCCATATATATGAAATAATTTCTTTCTATTCACATAGAACTATAATTATTAAAGTAATGTTTGCAGGGGCTTTAAGGGACAATTTAAAGTTTTCAAGGATTATTTGTGGTGCAGATCTAGATTGGACACAGTTGCACAGATTTTGGGGACTACAGACTTGGTATAGCCTTAGTAACTATTAAGAAGTAGTACTGAATAGAAAATAAACAAACTGCATCCCAATGTGGCGTCTTGCTTGAAAAGAGAGACAAAAAGAGTTAGATCAGGGGCATTATTGGAAGAAGAAAAACTGAAACATGTCCTGAAGTGGCATGTGAAGAAGCTGGTGTTAGGGAGATGATTTATTTGGATTATGATCCTCCTAATGGCAAATTTGGAAAACCTTCGAACAGTAAAACTCTGATACTATGACATATATCAGGGCGTAACCCCCCCTCCCTTTTTTGAGATGTTAGATTTTTAATTGTCTATGGGTTTTAGTCGGGATTTTAAATTTAGGCCAAAGTTATGTAATTCTTTTAACAAATTTTAAATTTTGTATT